TAGCGGCCACTCAGTGATAAGCGATAAATCGGCCGATAAATTGGTGAATCGGATGATATTTTGAACATTGGTTCAGATATAGGAACTCGTGTTCCTTGACATAACTGCACACCGTCAAGAAGACTTGATAGACCGTGAAACTGAAAGTGAACCAAATAATGCAAATTTGGCCATGTCTAAAGATGTATAGGACAATATTATTGCAACTCTTCATCTACAGTTAGAATATGTTTACTCTCTCTAACACGCATAGGTAATATAAATTGTAAACTACAATCTAATATCTTCAACTACATTATGGTAGGAAGTCATCAACTTGAAGTACGCACTAAGGATATACAGATGGTACATCAAGAGTTTGAACGACTCATGTCTCTTAATTTAGATGTAATGCCAATCTCAAGTACATCAATGAGAAAGAGGATTCAAGCGGTGAGTCGGCGTACTGTTTTCTGTAAACACTTCTTTAAATTGTATGATTGTCCTTGTATACCCTACCACTGTATATTGCGGCAAATGCATCTACATTTTGGGATTCTTCCATATGTTGTAACCTGGGTATATTTTTTGTGTAGGGAAAGTTAGGATTCTCAAATGATGACCATACTGCAAGTCTTGGGGCCCCAGAAACAACAAACAGATGCAATAAACAATGCTCGGTAGTGCAGCAGGAAGAACTAGTAACTATCGAGCATACCCTGGCAAAGTAGCAGGACGAACTATGAAGAAGGCCCTAGCAGAGCAACAAATAGAAATTGAAGCTATCAAGAAGGCCATGACAGAGCAACAACAACAATATGAAGCTGTGAAGCATGTCCTTCCATATGCATACCATGATCTTCATTGTTTGAAGATTACCCTTGTAGAGCAGCAAAAAGTACTTGAAGGTATCAAGAAGGCCCTACCAGAATAACATGATGAAATTGAAGGTCTAAAAATGGTACTATTAGACCTCGCATTTGTCTTGAATCTATCAACACTGCCCTTGTAGACCAGCAGGAAAAAACATGCCAAGGAAGATAAAACTTTGGATTTTGAAAAGAGCCTTAATGATCTTGATTGAATGTTTAAGTTAGTCGCCAGGATTGCGTCGCCAGCATCCCATTAATGCAGCTGAACAAACACCCCATTCATACTGCTGCGTTCTTTGCTGGTCATGAAACCGTGTCATGTGCCTACTTTTATTTTGTGACTCTTTGCCATGGTTGGTTATTCTAATGTCTTAGTATGTGTGCCAATTCTCAAGTTTGCAATTGAATCACAACAGTGAGAGTTGATCAAATTCAAATTTTGCACAAATTCATATTAAAATTTCAAAATTATGAATTTTGTACAAAAATTCCCGCTAACTGCAACATAAAAAAATCCATCATGTCTAAAAACTATGAAGTCTATGCATGCTGTCACCGGCGTATGGACCCACATGTAAGAAGCCACATCACTCAATGTTTTGACCCACTTCGCAACAGCCATGTCAAAGCCTTATGGGCTCATATGTCAGCACCATTGACCGGTCAAAAATAACGCCCAACTTATTAGTAACGGGCCCCGTTGGTGAAAAAACCATAGTCAGACCCACATGGAAGCAACCACGTCAGCAACTCTTGTGCCCATATGTTAGAATCTATGATCGGTCAAACTGACAACCCGATTACTGGTGACACATTATCATCACAAAAAACAATTTAGGTGAAAAATCGACATATCATAGGTGACTGTTTTAGCCATCACCGAAGATGACCATTCATGACAAAATGGGTTCATCAACTAAGACACGATCTTACGTGGTAAAAGAAGTCGTACTATCAAGATTTTTTTTGTGACGGTGCTTCGCTGGCGGTGGGGATGATGGGCGTAAGCCATCACCAGACCATTTCCAACGATAAAAATCAGTTTTACATGACACAAGTGGGTCGTCACAAAATAACCTACATTCTGTAGTGAGGCCCGTTGGAGTGATAATGAGGGCAAGTCACAGATAATTTGCCTTATCATCGACAAGCCACCGATCAGTACCCGTAATGGAGCTTGGTCCGTGAGTATGGTTGATGTAGATACTCTTGACTTTTTCGTCTTATTCCTTGATGGGTTGTTGGCTCGTTGGTCGAGGAGGATTTGGTGGCTCCTGTGGGTCCTACTGACCCTTGGGGTCCCACATGCCAGACTTGGGCTTCTAGAAGTTTTGGTGAAGATTCAGACATAATGTGTTTGAATTCAAATTCAAAACAAAAGTTTGAATTGAGCTAGAGTTCAATGTTACAAGTCCATGGAATAAATCTGGTGTCTAGAGGGTTGGGGGTGGAATAGAGCACCTCAATGGTTTTCCTCACAAATTTTGAAGTGGTTAGCTCCAAGTCTTAGCTTGACCAATGTTTGAACCAAATCAGGTTTGACCATATTTCAAACTTTTTGAAAAGGGGCTAGATAGGTTTTTGACCTAGACGCGCTTGGAAAGTCCAAAAAAAAACTAAGTTGAACTTCTATGGAGTTTGCCAAAACCAAAACTTATTTTTACTAATTAAATGCTAAAATGCTGATTTTTAAAATGACAAGAAAAGAAAATCTTGGGACCACTTCAAAAAACAATTGCTGCAAGTGAGGCCATAGGGTGTTGTAAAGTCTTAGTTTGACTTCCAAGAAATTTTACTTCATAAGCTTTCGCACTTAAGCTAAACTCTTGTTTTAGGGTTTAAGTGCCACTAATTTTAAGGGCTAGTCTCGGGCCATGGATAATCTTGGAAAAATATTATATGGTCCAAGATTTCACTTAGGTGATTTTTATTTGAATTTTGGGTTTACAAGTTTGCCTTGATAATAATTTAGTTTTACATAATTAAGAAGCAAAAAGATCTATGTTGATATTCACACCAAGTTTTATCTTGCTTACAAAGGTGATATCCATCCACTTAGTTTGGGACATTCTTGTTGAAGTGTATATGTGGATTACCTAACTCTTTTCATCAGTTCAAACTGTTGGTTGCATCGACTTGTGCATGAAGTTTAACATGGTATAAGAGCTTAAGGTCTTGAGTTCAAGTTTCGATCCACTTAGTTTGGGACATTCCTGTTGAATTGTATGTGTGGATTGCCTAACCCTTTTCATCAGTTGAAACTTTTGGTTGCGTTGGCTAGTGCATGGAGTTTAACATGATATCAGATCTTAAGGTCTTAGTTCAAATCCCGACTTTTGCAATTTATCTAAATTTTTTGTTGCCCCACATCCCGCGTCACATGTGTGAGAGGGGCTTCGATGGTCTAGTGTTCTATGAATTACCCTTGTGTGTTGTGGCTTCGTACAAACCTTGTTCCCAACGGTCGACGGACTTGGTGGCCCTATCTATTGACGATGTATTTATTGAAGCCAATAATGCTCTAGAAGGTGAAATTATTAATGGTAATATGGAGGGTGTAGCCATATCATTTCATTGATAGATCTGCCAATTGTAATCCAAACTAATCGTATTGTGCTCAAGTGTCCTGACAATTATGGATACTTCATGAGAGAAATGAAGCACCTCGAGGAAACTCATGTGTTTATTCCCTGGGAAATTGCACATAATTAAAATAGATTGCCATGTCTAGTTAACCCTGATTGTAATCCTATTTATAATAGATAAAAGTCATTGTTTCCGAAAATAAACTATATATTATACATCTAAAATTAAAGGACCCCGATAAGTGCCACACGTGTGGCATGAAGTAATTCCGTTCATACGTGTGGGCTGAAGGAGGTCGGGTCAAACGCCCTTCTAGCCACCCATTGTGGCACACCAGCCTTTTTTTCTTTTCACACATGCATGTAAACAGGGACAAAAATAGATGATGTCAGCGGAAATCTTTTGGGATTTCAAACTTTAAAATGTTTTATCTCTTAAATGAAAAATCCGATTGAAAATTCATTTTCACCATTAAATCCGCCGCGACGAGGACTTCGAAACTAGATCCCATATCGATATGTTTCGACGATATTTTTTACGGTGAAAAGTTGCCATGTCTATTGCACATAAACTGCCATGGTATTTACACCGAAGTTGCCATGATATGCTTTAACTATTTATTCTTCGACGTTCAAAGTAAATTTTGACATGTTACAAGAAAAGGAAATCAAGAAACTAAACTTGCCATGGAGAATTACTAAAATTTGCCATGATCCATGAAATAATTTTGACATGGTTCATAACTAAAAATAAATTCGTCATCAATTACTTTAAAAATGCATAGTCAATTACTCAAATTTGCTATGAACCAGAAACTAAAATTGCTATGGCGAATTACTTAAATTTGCCATTATACATGCACTAAAATTTGTCATGGTTTATACAAAAAATAGTTTCCATGGTCAAAATACTAAAATTGACATGATCTATAAATTAAATTTGCCATGATGAATTACTAAAAATTGCCATGATCCATGAATTAAGTTTCTCGTGGTTAATTACTAAAAATTGCCATGGCCCATTAATAAAATTTGCCGTGAAAAGTAGTTGAAATACAATGATAGCTTTAAATTTAGAAGAAAAAAAATAAATGAAACATATCATGACAACTTTAGTGTAAACACTATGGTAACTTCTGTGTAACATCATGGTAACTTTTGGTCGAAAAAAATCGTCGAAACATATCAATATGAGATTTACTTTTAAAGATCCCTTCGAGATAGATTTAATGATGAAAATGGGTTTTTAATCAGATTTTTTAGTTAAGAGATAAGACATTTTGAAGTCTGAAAAACCAAAACAAAACTGCTGATGTCATCTGTTAGATGTGTCAAAACAGATGATAATGAAGGCATTACGACCATGTTGTTTGGTGCCGCACGTGTGATACTTATTATTTGAAAAATTAAATTACTTGAAAACATGGTCTAGCAACTGTCGAAAAAAGAAGAAGAAAAAGGGCGAACGGCTTCGCCGGCCCTTCGCTCTCCCTCCAAAACTTGAAAACCTGCCTATCTTATCCAAAACCCTCACTCTCGTCTTCTCCACTAAACCCCGGCCACGATGGCCACCCCTTCCACCTCCGCCTCCACGGCCGCCTCCTCGGCATTCCCCCTCACTACTGCTGCCCGCTTCCCTCGCGCCTCCACCTCCGGCACGCGCATCCCCGCCCTCGCTGAGCGGCGCCGTACGCGGCGGCGGCGACTACCCGAAGGGAGCGGCGGCGACCGCTCGGCGGCCGCGGGGGCAGTGGAGAAGGGCCTGCGCCTGGCCTTCTTGGAGCAGCTCGCAGAGCGCGCCCGCGCTGCCGACGCCCTCGGAGTCGCGGACACCATCTACGACATGGTCGCCGCAGGCCTCTCGCCCGGGCCCCGTTCCTTTCACGGGCTCGTCGCCGCACACGCCCTCGCTGGCGACGCCGAAGGCGCTGTAAGTGTACACAGATGTTAAGTTTTGATTTGACGGAGCTGGTATATTGGCATTGGGGTTAACTGACCCCAATGAATGTTTGAAAACACTTCATTAGTTAGCACAAACTAATGTGTATTTGTAGAAGATGACACCAGTGTAGCAGAGATAATATAATGATGACCCCATAGGAATTTTTTTCTAGCTTCGTCTATTGCACCGGTGTGAGACCACAGAAGTTCGCGTGAGGTGTTTGATGAAATGCACGCGCCCCTTTGGGGTGTCTGTGCTTGGTAGGTAATTAAGGCGGCTGGGTGCTTGGCCGGAGTTGTTTCACCAAGTTATGAGTCCATGAGCGTTTGCTTTGGTTGGTTTTCTGTGGTCATAAATGTGCAATTGTCGAGTGAACAGGAGGTTCTCGGAGGCAAAGCTCAAGGTTTGCTAGCTTTGTTCTTACCGCCTTCCTTGAACTTGAACCTGTCTTGACTTGTTGTTGGATGCTTGGTGCTGTTGCTTTATAATATAAAGCGGGGGGAAATCCTTTTTCGTGTTCTTACCGCCTTGAAGACTTTCAAGCGGTATGTAGTGCTCCGGTGATTTTTTGTTTGGTGCACCATACGTGGATTTAAAATTCTGTTGATCCTGCAAGCTAAATGGAAAAATGAAAAGCAGCGGTGCCACACAGGAATCTGATGGTAACATATGAATTATGACATCAAAACCCAAGAAGGCAAGTAGGGTAACAGTCAAACAAGTAGTAACCCAACCATATATTGTTTATAAAAGCATTATATCTCCAGCGAACAAAATACATGTCGGGCTTCTTCTTCAGGGACAATCCAGTCTGCAGTGGTCAGCCACGATGTATATAAAAGTAGATGAAAGGTGTCGAAGTATTTAGATGCTGTGGGGCTGACCAATGGTGTTTTGGAATTCTGGTGAGGAGTAAGATATATATGCAGGCACGGCATCTCATTTTCTGCGAAAAGAAAAAATTGTGTTGTGTGTGCGCGTGCCCGTGCCTTACTGACCTAAGATCTCTGTCAACAAATTGAACACCATGTAAATTGATTTGGTCAACATCAAACTTAAATGAGTTATCAGCGCAAGGTCAGTTCTCAAATATATTCAAGGGTAGAACCTCTTAAGATTTTTAAGGCCAGAGGTCGTTACCTCTGCCTCTGGCTTCTCTATGGAGGCTTCAGAGTAAATATATACATGCATAGATATGTTGATTCTGTGATCCTAAGTTTATTTCAGTGATAGCCAGGTTATTCTGGACTTGTGTCCTAATTATGTTTATGATGCTTAATTATTTTTGTGGGACGCTTGCATATTGCTTTGATGAATGTTTTTTGAATGTAAAAACTTACATGTTTTTTTTTCAAATAATCACATGTATTGAATTTACAGAATGCAATGTTACATTTTGTATGCAGATGCAAGCTCTTAGGAGGGAGCTAAGTTCCGGCGTGCGTCCTTTACATGAAACTTTTGTGGCTCTAGTCCGTGTCTTTGCCAAGAAGGGTCTTTCTACCAGGGCAATGGAGATTCTTGCTGCTATGGAGAGATATAAGTATGATATTCGCAAGGCTTGGCTAGTTCTTGTAGGTATGGAAATTGGCTTGTCTTGCATGTTTGATTTGTTCGTTGAATGGTTATTGTAGTCTTCCTTCTGTGAACAGAGGAGCTAGTCAGGAACCATTATCTGGAGGACGCCAATACAGTATTTCTGAAAGGAGCAAAAGGTGGTTTACAAGGAACTGATGAACTTTACGATCTTTTGATTGAAGAAGATTGTAAAGCTGGAGACCACTCCAATGCTCTAACAGTTGCATACCAAATGGAGGCTGCTGGAAGAATGGCAACCACATTCCATTTTAATTGCCTTCTCAGTGTGCAGGTGTGACCTTGATTTACACCATAGTTTGCTATTTCCTTCTGCCATCTATTTGTTCAGTTGGCATAGTAGAGGAATATATATAGGGATTATTTTCTACCAATACTTCATCCAGGGAAAAAAATCCTATCGAGATTAATTTGTGAAAATAATATGACTTCTGCTCCCAGAACAGCAAGCAGCTTATGCAGCATAGTAATGTATATCATGATATAGGGGTTAATGCTAATGCTTGGACTATTTTCTAAATTTTCACTACAGGTGTGAGTTTTACTTTACCTACACCAATGGTGTTCTAGGTCTATCTATCTAACTGTCGGACACTGTGACATTTATGATCTCTAACACATCACATGGTGGTAGTAGCATATGTGCAGTTCATAAATTGTAAGTGAGCTGGGTTTGGTTAGTCTTAGGTGTTGTGAACTAATCCTGATGCATCAGCTGTTTAAACTGCCATTAGATTAGAAATTCTTCAGACGATATATCGTCTCCTTTAGGAACATGGTTCATTGCATGAGTGTTTATGTTTTAGATTCTATACGACTAAGTTCAACGTTTTAAAAATAAAATTCCTTTTGTTCAGGCTACGTGTGGAATTCCTGAAATTGCATTTTCAACTTATGAGAACATGGAATATGGAGGTGAAGGTACGCCCATCACGTCCACCGAATCTGCTATGCCTTTTGCTTTCATTTTATTCGTTGTGCCTGTTTTCTTGCCAGACATTTGGGAAGTCTTAACCATATTTATTTTACCAAATATTGTTTGTTTAACATATAATTAATGGTTTTATGCTAACAATTTAAACTTAAGACGTGAAAATATTGTGTTCATGTGTATAGTCCATACAACTCGCCATCCTAGCTAAAAGGGAATGATAGACTACTCGTATCAACAAGTTGCACCTTCTTTCTGGAAGCCCATCTCCGATCCTCTGGGTTAAGTGTGGTTGGCTTGGTGCAATTTGGGGATGGTTGACCGACCGGGAAGTTCTTCTCAGGTGCGCACGAGACAAAGTGTGACCGATGTTGGTTTGTGGGCCTGTCTAGATCCCACCAGGAGTAATGACTGCCGGTCTGGGCGAGAGGCTGGGGTGTTACATGAGTGGTATTGATAAGCATCATTCGGGTAAACGGTTCGTTTAGCATTTGGTGTGCATGTTTAACCATTGCTAGGACATTATGTCTATATTCTCCATTTATTTATGGCAGGTGGTGTTTTGCTATTTTGTTATTTGTCTACTTGAACTAGTTGTTATTTGTCTACTTGAACTAGTCTGTAGTTAGTAGTTACTGAAATCGGATTGTGGATTGTAAGGTCGATGTAGGCTTAGTGGTGGTGGAAATTCCCCAGGTGGTTCACCTGTGGCTGAGGCCGTTGGTGCTGTGCTAGCACCGTGGCTGACAAGTTGTAGAAAGGTAACCGGGTAGATGAGAGAAAGCACAGAGGATTGGAATACGTTTTAGGAAGAAGTTTCTTATTGCTTGCCTAAGAGCTTTTTTATATCCCAGTGGACTCCCTTTTACAGAACTAACATGACTTGGCTCCTAAGACAATGACTCAATGTACTAACTCGATTCCTCACTACTCCAACACTAACCAAAAGATAATCCTCCAACTGCATACATTGTTATGTACCTGCGCCATCCTTGAGCCTCGCTGCTCCGCCTCCTATGAATTATAATATTATTGACCTCAATACGAATCCATAAGAAAGTTACAATATACAAGGTGACAACAAGGTTTGAGTGTTCAACCTTATAGTCAATGTAGCTTATGTGCAAACAAATGCACCATATGTTCTTTTTGGATTGTTGACCTTTAGTTCACTAGTTTTCCAACAGAATTCTCCCACTGTTACTACAATATTTAATGTATCTCAGCAGTAGTAATACTAGCTTTCTTGTACAAGGAAAACAGAAATATCTGGCTAACTTATATCACATGTGCAATCATGATGTTTTCATGTAATCTAGATACTGATTCTCTCCTAATTTTGAAACTGAATTAAATTTGATGCTGACTTCCCTTTCCCTCTCATTGTAGATTACATGAAACCTGATACCGAGTCTTATAATTGGGTTATACAGGCATTTACTAGAGCTACTTCCCATGATAGGTATGCCTAATATTTACTTCCAGATTTTCTGCCATATGTGTTGCTTTGTTCTATTTTTCATATTTATCATAGTTAGCTTGTTAACACAAGCATGTGTATTTGTATCAAACCTGAATGTTTGAAACAGTTCGATGTAAAAGAACAAATGGTAGTTGTAGCTCCATGGCATATGTAGGGAAAGCTCAAAATTTTGGAACGGCATCTCACCTTGCTCTGTGATAGCTACTGTTTCTTAAACATGGAAAAACTTTGAAAAGAAGCATGCTATGTTGACTGGAGAACTGAGGGAACCTCTAACTTCGCTGCCATAAATAGTAGTGTAAATATAGGAAACTGCATAGGATTGTGCTTCCATGCTTCATGTTCTGGCTGCCGTTGTAGCGTCGAAAGGCAGTTTGTATTCTCTTGTTTTCAATGAAAATATATGCAAGTCTCCTTCGTATATTTGACAAAAAAAATGTTTTTGCAGCCTTTGCATCTTCTGCTTTTGCGGATCTTTCACCTAGTTCTTCAATTAATTTTTCATGTTTCCTTTTTGAGAATGAAACCTGGAAATAATAACTCACTTTTTTGTGTGAGAACATGTTACACTATGATCCATGTTTGAGTTATATTCATGATTTTGACTGTTATTAAGAATTACTCTTCTTTTTTGTCTTCATTTATGGTGTTTTATTGTCTGCAGGGCACCGGATGTGGCAGAACTACTCGGGATGATGGTGGAAGACTACAAACGTGTTCAGCCTAATGCAAGAACTTATGCGTAAGAACTTCCCTTGTAGAGTAGTCACTATTTGAAGAGCTTATGATTCTCAAAGGGATCGATTATACTGTGTCTATGTGTGATTTCTGAAAATCAATAGAAATGTTCTTGTTTCTAGTTTGCCAACTCTCATTTTTCTTGTAATATGTGTTTTTCTAAAGCAACGATGGATGACCAGCTACTGTTCCCAGGTTGTTAGTGGAATGCTTTACAAAGTACTGTATGGTCAATGAAGCGATCAGGCATTTTCGCGCTTTACGGAGAATTCCTGGAGGAACAAAAGTTCTGTACAATGCAGGGAATTGCGGCGATCCACTTTCTCTCTATCTACGTTCACTGTGCCTTGATGGTGAGCTTTCACCCTTCTGTTGATTAGTTTTACACAACATTGTTTCACCCCCTATGTATTCTGTGCTCAAAATATCAACTAGCATTTGTCTTTTATACTTTTAGGAGCTTTTGCATTATTGTGAACATTTAGTACTTTCCTGAGCAGGTAACTTATTTTTATAACCAGGAAGAGCTGATGAGTTGCTTGAGGCCTTAGAAGCAATGGCTGACGATAACCAGACTATTGCACCTCGAGCAATGATTTTAAACCGAAAATACCGCACATTGGTGAGCTCCTGGATAGAACCATTACAAGAAGAAGCTGATGTTGGCTTCGACATTGATTATGTAGCCAGGTATGACCTTGAAAAGTTTTTGTTTTGAGGAAAACATTAAGTGGTCTTAGGTTCTTACAATTCAGGATGATTAACCAGTCATGATATGCCTAATTGTCAACTATTTTCTTCTTTTTTGGTGATGGGCTTGTACATAGTTTTTGTGAAGGGTTTGGGTTGTGAAGGGTTTGGTGCACATAGTGACATTGCGGCTTCGGGTCCTAACATGCAACATTAGTTTATTTATGTATGCCAAACTCGCGGGCTAGTATTTTGGTTCTTAATTTTTTTTCCAGCCTAGCCCCCTTATCAAGATTTATCAGTTGTGGTCCGTTAATTACAAGAGGATCTGTCAGATCAATGGCTGAATGCTTGCATTTTGCTGGTTGACTATCGTGTTCTGTTGATATATAGAAAATACAAAAACCTTAGTGATATATTTTCGTACCCTATTGGTATATAAAATACATATACTGTTCACTGTGGGATGACAAGCTTCCGTGAGGTTCAAGATCTGATACAGCCTCTGCAGAACTTCCAGTGTGATGAGAATAACATTGATATCTGAAGTTACACCTGAGGCAGCAAAACATACCATGCAAAAGATTCGACACTTGATGTTGTGTACTAGGACCTTGTATGGGCTCTTTGCCCTCCTCTTTTCTCTTTTTAATCTACATGCAGTTCTCCTGCATGGTTCGAAAAAAGAGTAACATATGCCCCTAGATTGAGAACACAAGATGATCGAATAGCGGTTCAAAACTTTAACAATAAGTATTGCAATTCTAGAGAGATCTCATACATGCAACTGCAAGTTTTGTTCCTCCATAGTATTGTTGTTTACAATATTTGTTCCACCCGTGTTGGTTTTGCAGGTATATTGAAGAAGGAGGTCTTACAGGTGAGCGCAAACGTTGGGTGCCTCGTAGAGGGAAAACTCCTCTAGATCCAGATGAATTTGGTTTTGCCTATTCAAATCCAATAGAGACATCTTTTAAACTGCGGTGTTTTGAGGAATTGAAGTTATATCACCGAAGACTCTTAATTACACTGCGGAATGAAGGCCCTGGTATTTTAGGTGATGTATCTGAAGATGATGTACGAAGAGTAGTCGAAAGATTAAAGAAATTAGTTGTAGGGCCAAAGAAGAATGTTGTTAAGCCCAAGGCAGCGAGCAAAATGGTAGTAGCTGAATTGAAAATCGAGCTGGAGGCGCAAGGGTTACCTACAGATGGAACTAGACAAGTACTTTACCAGCGAGTTCAAAAGGCCAGGCGAATTAATCGCTCACGTGGTATACCTCTTTGGGTTCCTCCTGTAGAAGATGATGAAGTGGTATGCAATGTGACAATACTTCCTATAATTGTTTTTCATCTGTTACTTTACCATGTGACAGGTAACAATGTTATCAGTAAATTGTGTTACTTTTTATATACAGTTCTTTAATGTCACACACAACACTCTTGATAGGTCGACGAAGAGTTAGATGAAATGATCTCACGAATCAAGCTAGAAGATGGAAACACAGAGTTCTGGAAACGGCGTTTTCTGGGAGAAACTCGAAACCATCTTTGTGAAGAAGATAGCAAAGAAGATCCAGATTTTGATGACGAGTTAGATGAGGACGACGACGATGATGATGACGATGATTCCGCCAAAGAAGCAGATGAAGATGAGATAGATGATGAGGTCATTGACCGAACGGAAAATCAAGCTGGTGATGACGAGACTAAGGACAAACCAGCGAAAGGACCCAATCAGCATCTTCAAATGATAGGAGTCCAGTTATTGAAGGATCTAGAGAAGGCATCTGGTTCAACAAAGAAATTAAAAAAAATACCTGAGGTATGGAACTAATCTGACGGTGTGTTCTAAGAGATGCTTAACTTGTTTTCACTATAAGTCCGTTAAAGCTTTTGATATCTTTGTCTATCTATATAGTGCATATGCTTTCATTCTAGGAAATTTAAGACTTTCCTGGACCTTACAACGCAATTAATTATTTTTTGTTGGCTAGTGAATTGAAACTTTCCAATCATCTAAATAGCATCAAATGACTACCATGGCAACAAATTGCATAGGTGTTAAATTTTGTATCTGTATTCTTGTTTAAATTGTCGAGAATTAAGATAAGGTTTGGAATATATTCTTGAGGAATCTGTAGGCTTTAGTTAGCAGATCGTAGCAAAACTATGTTTGTTGTTTCCTCTAATTTGAAAATTCATGTTAGTGACCTTTGTTAGATATAAATGTGTCCAGTTGTTATGTCAGGTGGATATAGTGATAAGAGCTAATTTTGTAAGATTCTTACAGATTTTGAAGCATATTTCTTGCTGTATCTGCAGATTGATGATGACGAAGATTGGTTTCCTGAAGATCCAATTGAAGCTTTCAAGGTTATGCGCGAGACAAGAATGTTTGACTTGGCAGATATGTATACTACCGTGGATGCCTGGGGATGGACATGGGAGAGAGAGCTAAAGAAAAAGATGCCACGCAGATGGTCACAGGAATGGGAGGTTGAGTTAGCTATCAAGATAATGAATAAGGTATTCGTAGTTCTCTAGCCAAATTCTAAGAGTTGTTTTCCTGGTATGATGTTGTCTGGTTGACTATTGCTTTCTTTGGTTAACCATTTTCTCTCACAAAGCTGTGGACCTCCACTGTTTTGCAGACTAAAGGACGCCAAACACATATGCTTTGTTTTACTAGAATATTTTCCAGTTCGATACATAGTTTTCTTTCAATTATACATTGCTTTTGTTGGTTTCTAGGTTAGCCTGATTAGTGATGTGGCGTTGTGTTGGTGCTTTGGGCTTGCACAAAAGTTAAAGAGGCCTGACATTCAAACTGTGCCATATTACTGTTTTGTTGAATTTCAGGTAATAGAGCTGGGTGGTAGTCCGACTATTGGAGATTGTGCCATTATACTGCGCGCAGCAATGAGAGCTCCAGTCCCCTCTGCTTTTATTACAATATTGCAAACAACACATAGCCTGGGCCATAAATTTGGAAGGTAAATGTTAAATTGTTATGGCTATTGCTGCATTAAACAGGTTACATCCATGATTTTCTTGCCCATTTCATGTTGGAATTTTAGCTCTGTATCTGTCTGACGAGCATTACAGTTTTTTTTCTCGCCGTCCAGAAATAAGTGTATAGGCCACTGCACTTTTGTACCGTGCATGTAGTTTAATACTGTTGGAGTATTTTTATTTCAAGGATATTACTATCTCATGGACTGCAAAACACACATAATCCAGTGAACTGCAGCTCTGAAATATTTTGTGTATATGTGGCAAGGTGTACTAATATACCTTCCGTTACTTTTTTTGTACTGGAAATCAGCCCGCTGTACGACGAGGTAATCTTGCTGTGCCTTGATCTGGAGGAGATGGATGCGGCCATCGCCGTGGTCGCAGAAATGGAGACAAATGGAATTAAGGTCCTGGATGAGACCTTGGACAGGGTTCTTGCAGCCAAACAAATCGGGAACGGGAACTCTGCACTCCAACCACCAGCCGAGTAGCAGCCCTATTTTGACTTTGAACTCGGGAGCCCTCTGCAGCCGTGATCTGGTGATCTGATCTATTACACGGAAATCACTCAGCTCCATACCATTTAGGCCTGAGCTTGCCTTATCAAAATTTGATGGCGACAAGGGAGTTGCTGCATGTGCAGATGGAGGAAAAATCAGCGTACGCTTCTGCGTTGCTTGATCCCCCGTCCGTGTCAAGCTCGGTCTACTCACCGTGTGTTGTACGATGTATCTAAAGAGGACAGACAGTTTCAATAGAGGAAACAAAATGTGCTTTCCTTTTCCAAACACATTCTTGTTAGTGTGTACTGCTCTACTTGGCATGTTTGGACCTCAGAAATTTCACAAGAAACAGCATAGTTCTCTTGTCCTAGGATGCAGAAATTCATAAGGGGCTACATAACCATCTATGACGAGCTTGAGGGAAGACTTCTTCAATACCATTCTCCATTGATCTGCACTAGTCAGTGATTATAGCATTTGGTCGTTTGCTTGACATACAACATAGCCAGTGTTTAAATAACCAAACAAAAGTCTCACTCTCTTCAATGGACAGAAGAGCACAACCTAATATGATAGATTCTCCATGATGATTTCTGCCAACAAAAAGTACTGTCTTCGATCCACATTATTTGTCTTAGATTTGTTTAGATATGGATGTATCTAACACTAGGTAAATCTAAGACAAATATTATGGATTGGAGAGACTAGCAAATTGTTGAAATATAATGTTCTCCTTTCTTCACCAGTTTGAACTATTGGAGCATGAATTCAATATGGTATCTGAGCTAAGATGTCTCAAGTTCAAGGCCCTGCCGACACAGTATTAAACATAAAAGATTTTGCGGTCTACATTGATCCCACATCCAAGAACTAAAATAGTCTAGACGTGAAGGAGTGTTGAAATATATGGTTTGCCTCTCTTCATCAGTTTGGACTTTGGAGCAACTATCTATTTTTTAAGACACATTTATTAACTCAAAATATAGCATCAAGCGAATATAACACATAGTGACCAACATCCTGCCTCTGCATAATTAGGATGCACACAACCAACACAACTATTCTGACCCAAGTAACTAAAGGAAAACCCCGGCTTAACTAGAAGGAAGTGGTGGATCAATCCAGAGGTTATCATGCCATCCATGTTCGGAAAAACCCTCTTTAACCACCTCATCCAACCGCATAAACACTGCAACGGTATGTACTTTGTTCAGTGCAGTATAGACCATATTCTGAAAAACCCTCTTTAACCACCTGATCCAACCGCATAAACACTGCAACGGTATGTACTTTGTTCAGTGCGTGCAATAGAAAATAACCATCGTATGAGAAGAGTTTGTGCCATTGAAAACAATATAATTTCTACATAACCAAAGCGACCATAATAAGACAGACGCTCCCATGCTTATTAGCGTTCTAAACCTATTTGGTACTCCATCCATCCAGTGACCATAAATATTAACGACACTTGTGGACGAATATAAATTGGACGCTAGTTGGATGGCACAAACTTGCACCGGAAAGGAGAGGTGTTTGATTGTCCCACCGTGAGAACAAAAACTACACCTCTTACATCCTTCTCGGTTGCGGAGAGTGAGGTTGTGTTTGGTTAGCACAACTCTCCTCCGAAAATACCACATGAAAATCTTAACTTTTAGTGGTATACTGGTATGTTTGAATTTCATATTGGTTTATTATTATCCACCGACGATACATAGAGTCAACTGTGAAGGACCCAAATGTCCTGAAATTTTAGCGAAACACATCCCATCCTTGCGTTAACCTAATCGAATCCAACTATGATAGAAGATGCTGCCATGACATAAGACGAGGACCAATCAAATCTCACCTGAATTAAACATCCAGTGGGAAGGTGCTGGGCACATGCGCTAGAGTATCATTCTCATCGCGAACAATACAATACAAGGTTAGATACTGTTCTCGGAGAGTAGCATTTCCTAGCGAATTTTCCTTCCAGAAATGTATCTTTGAGCCGTTCTTTATCTCAAAAGATCCAAAGTGAAAAAGATGTTTCCTTGCCGCCATCAGACCAACTGAAAGGATGTGGATGTTGAAGGAAATATGCCCTAGAGGCAATAATAAAGTTATTATTTATTTCCTTATTTCATGATAAATGTTTATTACTCATGCTAGAGTTGTATTAACCGGAAACATAATACATGTGTGAATACATAGACAAACACAGTGTCATTAGTATGTCTCTACTTGACTAGCTCATTGATCAAAGATGGTTAAGTTTCCTAACCATTGACATGAGTTGTTATTTGATCAATGAGATCACATCATTAGGAGAATGATGTGACTGACTTGACCCATTCCGTTAGCTTAGCACTTGATCGTTTCTTTACTGCTATTGCTTTCTTCATGACTTATACATGTTCTTATGACTATGAGATTATGCAACTCCCGAATACCGGAGGAACACTTTGTGTGGTACCAAACGTCACAACGTAACTGGGTGATCATAAAGGTGCTCTACATGTGTTTCCTATGGTACTTGTTGAGTTGGCATAGATCAAGATTAGGATTTGTCACTCCGATTGTCGGAGAGGTATCTCTGGGCCCTCTCGGTAATGCACATCACTATAAGTAACATTCCGTTAGCAAGCATGATAACTAATGAGTTATTTACAAGATGATGTATTACAGAACGAGTAAAGAGACTTGCTGGTAACGAGATTGAACTAGGTATTGGATACCGACGATCGAATCTCGGGCAAGTAACATACCGATGACAAAGAGAACAACGTATAGTGTTGTGCGGTTTGACCAATAAAGATCTTCGTAGAATATGTAGGAACCAATATGAGCATCCAGGTTCTGCTATTGGTTATTGACAGGAGACGTGTCCCGGTCATGTCTACATAGTTCTCTAACCCGTAGGGTCCGCACGCTTAAAGTTCTGTGATGATCAGTTTTATGAGTTTGTATGTTTTGATGTACCGAAGGTAGTTCGGAGTCCCGGATTTGATCACGGACAAGACGAGGAGTCTCGAAATGGCCGAGACATAAAGATATATATATATTGGAAGCCTATATTTGGATATCGGAAGTGTTCCGGGTGAAATCGGGATTTTACCGGAGTACCGGGGGTTACCGGAACCCCCCCGGGGGTTTAATGGGCCATGATGGGCCTTAGTGGAAGAGATGAGGGGCTGCCAGGGCAGGCCGCGCGCTTCCTCTCCCTCTAGTCCGAATTGGACAAGGAGGGGTGGCCTTTCCTTCCTCTCTCCCTCCTCCTTCCCCCTTCTCCTATTCCAACTATGAAAGGAGGGAGTCCTACTCCCGGTGGGAGTAGGACTCCTTCTGGCGCGCCTCCTCCTGGCCGGCCGCCTCTCCCCCTTGCTCCTTTATATACGGGGGCAGGGGGGCACCTCTAGACACACAAGTTGATCATTGAGATCTCTCCAGCCGTGTGCGGTGCCCCCCTCCACCATAATCCACCTTGGTCATACTGTAGCGGTGTTTAGGCGAAGCCCTCCTGTGCTAGCTTCATCAACATCGTCACCACGCCATCGTGCTGACGAAACTCTTCCCCGAGCTCTACTGGATCGTGAGTTCGCGGGACGTCACCGAGCTGAACGTGTGCTGAACGCGGAGGTGCCGTACTTTTGGTGCTGAGGATCGGTCGATCATGAAGATGTACGACTACATCAACCGCGTTGTCATAACGCTTCCGCTTAACGGTCTACGAGGATACGTGGACGACACTATCCCCTCTCGTTGCTGTGCATCACCATGATCCTGCGTGTGCGTAGGAATTTTTTTGAAATTACTACATTCCCCAACAGTGGCATCCGAGCATGGTTTTATGCGTTGATGTTATATGCACGAGTAGAACACAAGTGAGTTGTGGGCGATACAAGTCATACTACTTACCAGCATGTCATACTTTGGTTCGGCGGTATTGTTGGATGAAGCGGCCCAGACCGACATTACGCGTACGCTTACGCGAGACTGGTTCTACCGACGTGCTTTGCACACAGGTGGCTGGCGGGTGTCCGTTTCTCCAACTTTAGTTGAACCGAGTGTGGCTACGCCCGGTCCTTGAGAAGGTTAAAACAACACCAACTTGACGAACTATCGTTGTGGTTTTGATGCATAGGTAAGAACAGTTCTTGCTCAGCCCGTAGCAGCCACGTAAAACTTGCAACAACAAAGTAGAGGACGTCTAACTTGTTTTTGCAGGGCATGTTGTGATGTGATATGGTCAAGACATGATGCTATATTTTTGTATGAGATGATCATGTTTTGTAACGGAGTTATCGGCAACTGGCAGGAGCCATATGGTTGTCGCTTTATTGTATGCAATGCAATTGCCCTATAATTGCTTTACTTTATCACTAAGCAGTAGCGATAGTCGTAGAAGCAATAGTTGGCGAGACGACAACGATGCTACGATGGAGATCAAGGTGTCGCGCCGGTGACGATGGTGATCATGACGGTGCTTCGGAGATGGAGATTACAAGCACAAGATGATGATGGCCATATCATATCACTTATATTGATTGCATGTGATGTTTATCCTTTATGCATCTTATTCTGCTTTGTTTGACGGTAGCATTATAAGATGATCTCTCACTAAATTTCAAGATAAAAGTGTTCTCCCTGAGTATGCACCATTGCCAAAGTTCGTCGTGCCGAGACACCACGTGATGATCGGGTGTGCTAAGCTCTACGTCCATCTACAACTGGTGCAAGCCAGTTTTGCACACGCAGAATACTCGGGTTAAACTTGACAAGCCCAGCATATGCAGATATGGCCTCGGAACACTGAGACCGAGAGGTCGAGCGTGAATCATATAGTAGATATGATCAGCATAGTGATGTTCACCATTGAAAACTACTCCATTTCATGTGATGATCGGTCATGGTTTAGTTGATATGGATCATGTGATCACTTAGATGATAAGAGGGATGTCTATCTAAGTGGGAGTTCTTAGGTAATATGATTAATTAAACTTAAA